AGAGAATATAATGAGGGTGAGTATGTTTTGATTTACATTTGACATGAGAAATATCTCCCTTCAAAGTATCAAAATATGCCAGCATAGTCATATAGCCTAATTAAAATTTTTAAAAATTTAAAGCCTAATGCTTATTTCCTTTGACTGCCTTTTAACATGTTTCCATCCTATTTTCAAGGAGGAAGACATCTTCCCTTATAAAATTATTATATAATCAAAGGATTTGGATATAAGCTTGCATTTAGTTACAAGTTCATTCCCATAAAACCTTCCTTGAGGTAGATTCTATACTTGTAGATGAGTGATGTGGCACAACTTGCCCATCAAAGAAAAAGGTTGCCAACAATTTATTGCCAAAGCTAGAATGTGCCTACTAACAAATAAGAGACTAAGCAAGAAGCCTATGAAGACTTTAATTTAGTATTCATATTTCTTATGAGTGTTAAATGTTGTACTAGACCATATGCTTGCGATTTTTATTTGTAGTTATAATTATATTTGAAAATATGAAATTTAAATTTTTGAATTTTTTAATTTTTGAAATTCAACATTTTAAAATTTGAATTGTCTTTTGAAATGTTGAAGGGATCACAAGGAAGGAATGTTAGATTGAAATTAAATAGCATTGGTAGTTAAAAAAAGTATTTAAAAAAAAATCAAATTTTAAGTATTGATGGCTAGCCTCCTCGATGACTCTCATATGAAGAGGTTTCGTGATCTCTTCAACTTTGCTACTTTTGTGAGCAGCAAGACTATCTTAATTTTGATTTAAAAAATATCTTTTAGCTGTAAATTCTTTCTAAACTCATCCCCACACCATTTCATGATTTCTTCCTTACATTTCCCCAACCAAATAGCATCCAAAATCTCTCCTGAAGTTGTAGGTCATAATTAGGTTCAATCTGATATAGTTGAATTCAAAAATGAGGTTAACAATAGGATACAAAGATAAAATGAGACTTATTAGGTGATAACCCCACTGGGTGATATGATAAATATAAAAGTTTAATTAAATGATATAATAATTATGTAAAATTATAAATTATTACTTTAAAAATAAATTATTAATTACATACTTTTTAATTCAAACATATTCAATCATTAAATTTAATTAATAATTAATAATTGATATAAATTTAGTTCACACAATATAATAATTATTAATTTATGTTATTTATTTAGATATAATTTTCATGCTTTAAATATAATTTACACGTATAAATTAAACACAATTCACACAAATTCATTTTAGATCATTTATGATTAAAAATAGATATTTTTTTCATATTTTATAATTGAATAAATAAAATATAAAGGGATAAAAAATTAAGTACTTTTCACATTATAGAAAATTAATTAATTTTAAAATTAATATATATTAAATTTTAACTAATTTGTTTAGTTTAATACTTAATATTAAATTTGTTTGATTATGTAAATGATAAAGCTGTTGAGCCGACCAAATTTAAGAAATCGGGATCGAATAATGGTTTACTGGTTGAATCGTATGTTCAAGTTATTTTTTATCGATTTGATGTAAGACTAATTTTTGAAATAGCCCATATCAATTCCCAGTTGACCAATTGAAACGGCTAGTCCAAGCGGAATTTTCAAAACAATGGTAAATTATATATGAAATTTAATAAATTTCTAGCCAATTCTATAATAAGCACTAATGTGAAGGCATATGATGATTATGAAGAGCAGAGTAATAATAAGTATTTAAAGTCCTGACCCGCTCTTGCTTTATCCAAGCAATCCAAAAGGACTTTATCTGCATCATATCACAAAATAACACAAGAAACACTAGATAAAATATCACAAAAATATTACATGGAAAGAAAGGTTATTTTATGAACACATTTTTATAATATTTATTATAAAACATTAATTAAAAAAAGTAATTTCTAATTGCAGAATATTTATTAATATTGTGTAACTCCTAGGGAGAAGAACTATACATAGATAAAATAAAACCCTAAGACTTGTCGATTTAACAATTTTGTGGAGGAACCAAAATGGAGTCATTAGAGAATGCTTAAACACAAAAAAGGGTCCTTCAATAAGGTGATCTGAGATGTTTTTTAGATATGAACCAAATGGCATTTTCAAGGGATGATTAGCCCTTCTCCTTTCCAAAGGACAATAAGCATAGGATATATAACTATGTTATATTATAAACTAAGACTTGAGGATGCGTAAGAAATTTAATCTAAGAGAAAAGAGTAAGATCAAATAAAATATTGTACCTAGTGTTAGAGGTTGAAGATGTTCACAGTAATAACCTAGTTCAAAGATTTGTGAAAATTATACAGTAAAAATCTACTTTAGAGGATATAATGGAGCTTATAAGGTGATAATTTTGCAAGATAGAAATAGGGCATGTGGTGATAACTCAGTAAAACATATATAAGATAGAGGTGAAAACTAACTTCAAAGATAGAAGATATGAAGTGATTGCTCAATCTCAAGATATGATAGATTTTATGGAGTGATAACCCATCCTAAAGGCATAATAGAACTTATGGGATAATAACCCACCCAAGAAATGTAGGACATGGAGTAATAATCCAATTTGAGAGATATATAATGTATATTGATAGCCCAAAGATATAGGAAATGGGGTGATAACCCACTCCAAAGATGCAATGGGACATAAAGAGATAATAACTCAGCCCAAGAAATATCATATATTGTGTAATAATCCAATTTTAGGAAATGATCAAACATATATGTTTATAAACCTTCTAAGGAACATAATTGGAATCATGAAGTGATAACCTAACCTGGTTCTAAATATTCACCATAAATGGCCTTGAAGGTCTTATGCAAAGATGAAGCCACATATCTCATGAACATTATGCATAGGCCTTAAGAAGAGATTTGTTATCTTGATATTAAAAGTTTCTATAAGTGATACTTATAACCTCTCAATTATAAGAAGTCACAATAGATAAAATGGATATCAAGGGATTGGAATATCAACTAAGGACCAATGGGTCATTAAATATATAAGGGTATGCAATTTCAATTCAATAGGAGATGAAGAAAGGATGCATATGGAAGAAAGCCCACTTTAAGGATTCCTAACTTAAAAAGAGACGATAAACCAAGGTTTCCTAACTCCGACTCCCTATTAAAATCTAGAACATAAGGTCAAAATAAACGACGCAATACAACTCTTTCATTCCGTATGAAGATGCTTACTAGGTGACTTGCAAACTCAATAGTGCAAGATTAAGAAGCTCAATGACTAGACTAACATCTGATCTAGGTTAAGAATGCCATTAAACCAAACTAGGCCTACTTTAGAATTATTTTAATCATGAATTCAACGTTTTTTTTTTTTCCTTAGTTTCAATCTTAACAAGTTTTAGAGCGAAATAATATGAAATGCATAAATTTGACTTCTGGTGATAACCAACACATCATTGTCAATGATGATCATCCAAATGCTAAATAATCATATGAGTTGCTAGACAAAGTTGGGAAAAAGTTAATTTGATTTTAGAATGTATGAAATGTATTAAATCTATAGTTAATTTTATATAAACCAACAAAGTGAGAAAAATGGTGTAAGAAGAACAATAATAACTAGTTATAATTTGTACCTACACACCATCCATCTTAGCATTCCAAATGATCTTTATGCACAACACATCACTGAATAATATAAAAGACATCATATAAAATATTATATCGTATTTACATGTTAGTCATACCACCCTCCCTAATGAATGTTGGTCATGAATTTCTATTTAAAATTTATTTGAAATAACTTTCTTATTGCTCTACTTTTTAAACTGTACTTACAATTTTTATTTGACAATTTTTTTTATTTGCTATGTAGTTTCCTTTTACAACAGTTTTTTGAAAAAACACAATTATACAAAAACTACAGCCTAAATAGACCCTTCCGTGAAATGAGCACATGGTGCAATCAAAACTACAAGCTTGCTACAGCATATTAAGGCTTCGTTTTGAACGGCTTTTTAGCCGCTTTTTTTTTTTTTTTTTTTTTGAAGAATGCAATAGCAAATAATATGAAAAGAAACTAGATACAAACTAAAGTAAGGGCTCACATTCCTTCTTCAGTAAAGAACAAAGAGGAGGAATGTTATCAAAAGAAGAGCTATCAAAACAAAAGCTGTTATCTAAAGTCAGAGAAGCATACATATCAGCTACCTTATCACAATCTCTATGTATATGATGTAGAATTACCTTATTGAAATCGGCCAAGAAAAGAAGATCGTCCTTCATCCGATTGTAATAAAAAGTTACTTAAAAGAAGCAACTAGAATACTTTGTTTGAAACAACTTTCTCATTAATTTTTAATAAAAAAATTCTAATTAAAAAAAAAATTTACCTAAAATGCCGTTTTAAAAAGCATTAAAATAACTGTTCCAAACCAACCCTAAAGCAAAAGTGATAGAAAACAACAAAATCAGTTAAATCAAAATGTTATAACGTGAGATTAGCAAGCATCAGAGCAAGGAATAATAAATGACTCTTACACGCAAAGATAGCTATATAAAAATATATTGAAATTGAACAAAACAATCACTAGTCTGGGACTTAAACCGCTTGACTTCATTGTTCCAGTAATAAAATCAAGTCCCAAAAGCAAACAAGATTTTCCTCCAGAGGCCATTTTTATGTAAAGCAAGCTAAGGTCAACACATGTATTAGGACCACAAATAATTTGATGTGAAAAAGCTACACTACCAGACACCAAGTATTTTTTCTAAGGGAAATGCTAAAACGACAGAAATTAAAAAAAAAAAAAATCATTTCTAGCCTTTTTTTTTTTTGGACTCGTTTTTGCCCTAGTTTTGAAGCTATAGATTTAAAAAAAAAAATAAAAAGGCCTCAATTCTTAACGTCAATTCACTCCGCCCTCCCTTCTAGTCAATGTTTAGCTTGTTCTAGCAATTACCCTTTGCTAAGCCAATCTAACTCAACAAATTTGGCTCCACAAACCATCATGTGGGAAAGATCAAAGAAAATAAACATCAATAGTAACTCAATGCATATCAATTCAACTGATTAGTCAGCAGTACAAAAGGAGCCGCTCAAGGACAGACAATCTGAGAGTACTCTGTAAAAGGAACCCAGATAAAAAGAGCTGCATTCTTATAGCACAGAGGTTTATGGAAATCATGTTAAACTACAGAGCAACGGAATCAAATAAAATTAACCGTTTGAATTCTTTGTTGCAGGGATTAATCGAGTCTAGTCCATTCTTCCTTTTAGGGCCTTCTCCTGCACTTCAGTTGGTGTCCTACAATGCATAATGAAAAAATAAACAAACTGCGGAAAGAATATCAGAAAGACTTAATAGATAAAAGTTAGCCGTAAGTGTATTTGCATCTCTTGTTAAGGACTCCAGAACTTGGTAGACTATAAATAGAAATCTTCTTCATAGATTTAATCTGTGGTTTCTCTTTGTATTAGAGCTAAGCTTGCAATAACTTACTAAAAAACGCCTTGCCACCAAAATAGCATTAGGGAGTTATATTTTAGTGTTAGTTTTAGGAACTCTCACTTTCGGGTCACAGAAAAACTATGGGGCTGTTTAGCAACGAGTAGGATTGAGTAAATCCGGATTTATTAAATCTTGAATGAGTTAATTCCTGAAAACTGTGGCAAAAAAGAAGTTAAATCATGATAAATCATGTGAAGCTGTTATCAATGCAACTTAGGATTTAAGGCGGTTAGTTTAGTAAAAAGCTTAATTTTAATTTGTGTTTCAAATGTAATTTGCATTTTAAAATTTATTTCAGTTTGAAATATCAGTAATAAGTTAATAAAATAAATAATATAATTAGAAATTAACTATATTATCAAATAACATAACTATTTATTTAGATGCTATTTTAATAAGTAATTGACTAACTAAATTGATAATTATCTAGTTATTATTTAAAATAACAAATTATTTATTTATTTCTCATTTAATTAATAATTTAAATATTATTTTAATAATTTTTTTAATTACTATTTATACTATTAATTACTACTAATATTACTATTTATTATTTAAAATTATTTAAGTGTTATACTTATGATAGCCTTAGTTAGGGCTTGCTTTTTCATCTTCTCCATTTCTTTGTTGCTATTCGACTTAATCTAATTTGCTTGAGGTAGGGTTTTCATGTCAGGTAGAGTTTTGAAGCCATCGCTAAAACTTCTTCGCCTCCTTCGACAATGTTCTTCCTTTACCCCCTCCAACAGCGTTCTTAGCAATCTTCAACTATAACAGGATCTTTCTCCCTTTTGCATGTTTCTTCAGCCAAATTCCATAAATTCCAGAACTCCTAGATTTAATAAATCTGAAATTTAAGGTAAAAAGCGAGAAACGGAGGATTTATTTCAGTGAAATTTAACATGTCCTCAAATCCCTTTTGGCAGAATAATCCTGTTCAAATCCCATATCCAAACAACCCTTAAAAGTTTTCTTTAAGGCGACTTAAGATTTTCTATTTTTACATTTAAATTTTCTTTTCTCAATCATAGTATTAAATATATTTCTTCTAAAAAATAATGTTTGAAGGCAAAATTTTAAAAAAGTAGTTATACAAACAGAGAGGAATTTTTGTTGGCTGTTTTTTTTACTAAAAAACAACTGAAGAAATTATCTCGAATAAAGCCAACATGAAAAAACATGGAAAAAATAAATAAATAAAAAGCATTTTCTAAAACCATAAACTTAAGCCTGCGAATCCAATATGCGTGCAATTTGGCCAACTTGGAGCTTCTTACTAATAAAAGATTGTACAAGGGAATTTTTCAACGGTAAAACATTCTTCTCAGTCAAGGAGCCCCCCACATGTGCTAAGATTGCCACGAACTTTATTCCTACATCATGAGAACTTGAGAAGCAGCACTCCAATCCTTTTGCAAGTTGTCACTAAGATTTCGTTTGGGACAGCTTTCGCACTGCTTCCTAAAATGATTTCTAGCATAAAATTTTCTAATTCAAGAAATTTTTGTACTAGAAAACTATTTTAGAAATTAACAAAAAAACTGTCCCAATGACAAAAATTTCCTCGGATTTGAATTCGAAGGTTTGCTGAATAAGATCCACGATACAATCTGAACTTACTGGATAAATTTCAAGTTAAAAAAAAAGGTTGTTCAAGATCCTATTGCTAATCCCAAGCCACCATAATCTTAGCTGAATTTGTTTAACGTTATAATCCTAATTTGCTATTGACCCAACGTCTTATTTTCTGTATAAAAAGTGAAGGAAACAAAGGAATTGGCTGCATGGTACTATCGGTTCCTGGAAGATGACTAATAAGATAATCTCTCAGGTGGACAAGCACGTAAGTTCTGTGATTGAACTTTTCTACTGAGGAGACAATGGGTATCTGATCAGAAAATGATCGCAGCTGCAAGAAGACCTGAGGATTGACGGAAACAGATGAGTTGCCTAGTGATCTTTTGTTAATCAACGGTTTGTGTGATAGAAGCCCCAGAGAACCAATAACATGTTATCGAGGACAAAGTCTCTGAGTCCCAATGACGAGTTGATTGAAACTTTGGTTGGTGACTATAAACGTCACCGACATTCAGAGGCCATTTGAGGAGGTTAGTAAGGAGAATAACAGCAGCTTCTTTTCTGCAACTGGGAGATCCGGTTGTGGCATTTGAAGCAAGTCAGCAGCACAGTTGTCTAAGAGCTATGGTTAAGGATTAAAATAGAGAAGGCAAAAGAAAAAAAAGGGTGCTCTATTTATTTATCATTACATAAATGTATAATTTGAATCTATGAGAGCTGGGGTGGAACTGTAAGTACAATCAATATTAACTAAGGATCAGTTCTGCTTTGAATCTCATCGATGTCCAAGACTTAATCCCAAATGAGGATATTAGAAGAGGAGAATCAAGTTCAAGCTTCAATTCTGCTTTGAATCTTGAAAGGAGGGAAACTACAATCGAGGAATATCCCATCTCAAAGGAGAAAGTGAAATGCCCCCAACAGCTTATTCTGGAAATGTGGATATCCAAATCACAAAGAGATCTAAAAGTCGCAATGATGCATGCTAGCATTGTGGAAAGACCAGTGACATAAGGAAACTAACTACAAAAGAAAACTAATAATTAAAATCATAATGAAGAAATTATGAATGCTACCACATAAAAGGTCAAAATGCCTAATCCTTGATTTTGATAGTATCATAGAATCCTACATCATGAACTCAAGTGCATCTATTCAATCTGCAGAATAAAGAACTTATATCTAGTTATTCTACAAGAAACTAAGAGAACTGATGGGGGGGGGGGGAGTTGTTTAGGAAGAGTTCTAATCAAGAGGAAGTAGTTTAGGAAAGTTCCTAATTAAGGGAAATTATTTAGGAAATTTCCTATCATGAACACTGCCATTATCATGTCCCAAGGCTAGAATGAGAAAAGTGGAGGGTTGTATTGAGTAGTCGACAGCCAGCGCAAAACTTGTCGAATAATCATGACATGAATCATTTAATACATTTTGTTAATGCTAGCACGTTCCCTGAAAGCGAAGCACAATATGGCCTGAATACAACAAGAAGTGTGCAAGGGTTGCTGCATCGGTGCTCGGGTGCAGTGCTATGATGCACCGACACGAACACGGCGACACGGACACAGGTATTTTTTAAAAATATAGGACACGGGTGCGGCGTGGACACGGCATAATAATTTTTTAATATAATATATAGAAATTAAAGTAATATTATATTAAAAATGACAAGCAATAATAAATCAAAGTCATGATAACTTGTTTAGCTTATAACATAAAGATGTTTAGTATAAAAATGTTTAGTACAACCACAAAAATATAAGCAAAAAACTATTTAGTACAACATGAAGGTCCAACTACTCAATAGAGGGAATGATAGAATTAGATTCAGAGATTGGTCTTTGGTCTTTAATATCATCGAATATCATTACTTTCAACACTGGTTTATCTAGAGAATGATTTGCAACCTCAAATAACCTCATATCATCAAGGCACTCGAGCCCATCTCCAGCAACATCCCACATCTTATTATCACCTGTTATATAAAATGGGATTTTCCTTTATAGAAGACGAAGATTTGTATGCACATAAACTAAATCTTTAGCCTGTTGTGGAGTTAATTAATTCCTTTTCATTGATTGAATAAATGAGTATGTGCTCCAATTTCTCTTATAATAGGAAGAGGATGATACTTGACTAAGAAGTTTTATTGCTATGGTTTGAAGAAGCGGTGTTGAAGCTCCATGAATCAACCACCACATTTTTTGATCTATCCTCCATCTATAAACCAAAGATTTTTTATCACCAAAATCTTCTAAATATCCAAAGAACTTTGCAAGTTCTATATTATTTTTTTTCTCTCCTCATTTGGGAAATATCGTTTCAAGCATATCTTTCTCATATTTGCAATATCGTTTCAAGCATTTCTGAATGTTATCCAATGACATTCAGCATAGATGATTTCATTTGTCTCTGTAATTTTTGTTGCACAAATATTTTTTAGAGTAAGATTTAAAGTGTGCACCACACATGAAGTCCATAATATATGAGGATAAATTTGCTCCACCAACAATCTTGCAGCTCTACACACCGGTGCATTATCTGTTATAACCTGCACAACATTTGAAGACCCAATAATGACTATCACCTCTTTAATCAAATTAGCAATGAAATATTTATCCTTGTATTCTCCTTCACAATTCACAGCTTTAATAAACATTGGGCAATTCTCTGTAACGGTCATGAAATTAATGAGTGATCTTCATTGAGGATCAGTCCAACCATCACACATCAAAGTGACTCATTTTTCTTTCCACGCACCTTTTGTTGGTTCAAGCAATGTTTCAAAATGAAGTGTCGGTGCATCAGAGGTGCAGTGTTAAATAGGCAAGGATTCTCACGACATGGACATATGTGAGCAAAGAAGCTAATCCATAAAACTATAATTCGGATTGAATCTTGGAATGTAAGTTCTTATACATACATATTAATGGAATTAATTGATATTATAATTCATAAGAAAATAAATATTTTATGCATTCAGAAAACTAAATGGGTTGGGAAAAAGGCTAAGGAGATTGATAGTTTAGGATTTAAACTTTGGTATTCTAATATAAGTCATACTAGAAATGGTGTAGGTGTGATTATAATAAGAGTTTGAAAGATAATGTTATAAAACTTGATAGAATTTGAGACATAATTATTGTTTTGAAGATTATTGTTAATGTTAAGATTATTAATATTATAAGTGTTTATGCTCCTCAAGTAGGTTTAGATAT